GCTGAGGCGGGAGGATGGCTTGAGCTCAGGAGTTTTGAGACTAGGCCAGGCAACATTTTGAGACTTTGTCTCTACCTTAAAAAAAAAAAAAAAAAAAAGCCAGGTGTACTGGTACACATCTGTAGTCCCAGCTACTCAGGAGGCTGAGGTGGGAGCCTGGGAGATTGAGGCTGCAATGGGCTATCATTGCGTCACTGCACTCCAGCCTTGGCGAAAGAATGAGATCCAGTCTCAAAAAAAAAAAAAAGAGAGAAAGAGAGAGAGAGATAAAACTAAGCTACTTAAGAAAAAGGGAATAGCCAGACACAGTGGCTCACGCCTGTAATCCCAGCACTTTGGGAGGCCTAGGCGGGCAGATCAGGAGTCAGGAGATCGAGACCATCCTGGCTAGCATGGTGAAACCCCGTCTCTACTAAAAATACAAAAAATTAGCTGGGTGTGGTGGCGGGTGCCTGTAGTCCCAGCTACTCAGGAGGCTGAGGCAGGAGAATGGTGTGAACCCAGGAGGCGGAGCTTGCAGTGAGCCAAGATCACACCACTGCACTCCAGCCTGGGCAACAGAGCCAGACTCCATCAGAAGAAAGAAGAAAGAAGAAGCAGAAGCAGAAGCGGAAGCAGCAGCAGAGGAAGAGGAGAAGAAAAGAAAAGAAGGAGGGGGAGGGGGAGGGGGGAGGAAAGAGAAGGAGGGAGAAGGAGAAAGAAGGAAGGAGGAAGGAGGAAGAAGAAGAAAATAATAAACTCCAAGAAAAACAAAATAGTCACAGCCATAAAAACAACGAAATCATGTCCTTTGCAACAACGTGGGTGCAGCTGGAGGCCAATTATCCTAAACGAATTAGTGCAGGAACCAGAAAACCAAATACCATGTATTCTCACTTACCCCTAAAAGTTAGATGCCCTTCCTCCATACTCCCACAGTACCCTCTATATTTTTACCAGAGTCATTATATTCCTCTTTACTTTGTGAGCCCTTAAAAGCGGAGACCTGGTCTGTTTTACTCATTGGTATGTCACTACAGTGCCAGGCTCATTGTTTGCATTCAAATGGTTGTTGCATGAACAAATTCAAATGTAACTGCCTGTTTACTTGTCTTTCCTCAACAGGCTGTATGTTCCTTGGCAGATGGATCTGTGGTTTATTAAGCTTTGTTTCTTTTAGCATTTAGCACTCAGCATGAAGACCTAGCGCATAGAAGTTTATTGAATAAATTAACTTTGTCAGCAGTATAATCTTTAAAATACAGTATATAGCATTGAGGAATATATAGAAAGTATTCTCAAGATACAGAGAGACATGGGTTGCTCAGGATTGTTCCTTTGTGTTTCACTTATAGGAAAAATACATATGAAAGATCTCGTACTATAGACTACAAATGCCAAATGACCTACTGTGCTCTTACCACCCTTAGCCTAGAAATAAAATAGAAACAATTCCTAAAGAAATAGTCTTTAAAATAAACAGCTAAAATTTTATCAACAACAACAAAAAAGTAGTTGGAGTTTCTGCTCATTAAATTAGTTTGTATGGTAAGCACCATCTAAGTTTCTTGATTCATGGCATGTGTTCTTAAACCAATTTACTATCCACTAAAAATAAATAGTGATCAATATATAAAAAGCAGTTGTATTTCTTGACACTAGCAATGAACCATCTGAAAATGAAATTAAGAACACAATTCCACTTACAGTAGCATCAAAAAAAATATTTAGAAATAAATTTAACCAAAGAAGTGTAAGATGATATATACACTGAAAACTAAAAAACATGGTTAAAAGAATGGAAAGACAGCTCAAGTTCATGGATTGGAAGACTGAATATTGCTAAAATGGCAGTACTCTCCAAATTGATCTATAGATTCAATGCAATTCCTATCAAAATTCCGTCTCCCTTTTTGTAGAAATCGACAACTGGTCCTCAAATTCATATGGAAACTTAAGGGACCCCAAATAACCAACAAATACTGGAAAAGAAGACAAAGTTCATGGATTCACACTTTGACTTCAAAATTTACTACATAATCAAGATAGTGTGGTTCTTTCATAGGACAGACATATAGACCAGTAGAATAAAATTGAGTGCAGAAATAAACCTGTATGGTCAATTGATTTTCAACAAATGTATGAAGACAATTTAATGAGGAAAGAATAGTTTTTTTCAACCAATTATATTGACACAACTGGATATCTGCATGCAAAATAATGAAGTTGGACCCCTTCCTCATACCATGTACAAAAACTAATTCAAAATTGATCAAAGACCCAAACGTAAGACTTAAAACTGTAAAGTGCTCTTCTTCTTCCATCAAAGCTGGTTGGATGTGATTTCCATGTTCAGATACTATTTATGATACTTGCTCCTTTTGAGCATGCATACATTACAGAAGCATTTTTTCATCAGTATGTTTACATGTAGTTCTTACAGCTTTATGTATATATGAGCTCAGAAACATTATTACCATCTGAAAAAGCACCCCTAATTTTCTATTTCCTTACCCTGATTTACTCTCTCCATAAGTAGTATCACTGGACTATAAGTTCCTTGAGGGATAGGGCTTTTAGTTTTCAACTCTATCAGCAAAAATATAAAGGTTGATAGAAAATATAAAGCAGGGAAATGCCTATAAATTAAAAGCCTGTAGAAATTCCCATCTTTACATTTTAGCATTTACATATAGATGCCATTTTTTAATGTTTTCAGAAAATAAATAACTTTGGCTACCAGCCCACCCTTTGGAAGAGGTACAGATTATTTCCCATGTAAGAACTTAACCCCACAGTGCTGGCCCATGTCTTGAAGGGTGAAGGGCCAACTAAACTCACATAATCAAATGCTTAAACCTAGCTTCCTTTCTCATGGGAGATACTGAATTTTGTAATAAACCTTACTAAGAATACCTCATACCACTTAAGGTAACTCAGGAAAACTGTATGTTAGTATTCTTCTTTTCTGATTTATTTGTTCACAATCGACTAGAATACTTATGATTGTAGGTTCCATTACCCTTAAAGTCTTGACCCTCTCTTTACTTGGCTGCTCAGGTCATAGGTGCTGTGATCTAGAGAAAAAGTATTCCTTACACTAGCAAATACTTGCAAACTAAGGGGAATGAGTTTCCCTCTGAATGTTTATGAAGGATAGGCCACTATGGTAATGTTAAATTTAATTATAATACACTTCTTGTATTTAGGAGCCAAAAGTCTCAGATGCTAAATGAAGACTGATTTGCTTTTTATTTGATCATATACCTATACTTGTGCAAAAAAATTAACTTCTTGTTTTATAGTTTCTTTGGGGGAAAATAGGGTTTAAAATTCATATCAGTTTTAAGAAAAGTTATTTTTCTAGACATAGTTCAACAACTTACAAATGTAATTGTTACTAAAAAAATAAGTAATAAATAGCCAAAAACTGGTGGTCAAAGATCCAGTAGAAAACATCCTCTTTCACTCATAAATCAAAGAAATAGTCATGAAGCATTTCTATGCCTATAAAAATAGATTCAGCAAGTCTTTAAAACATTTTTGCTAGAATTCACATGAATCTTCCCAGAGAATACTCTTATTTATACTGTTGAAACATATATAACTAAAATTGAGAATTTGTTTAGAAGATATATATAACTAAAACTGAGAATTTGTTTAGAAGATGTCTTATGATTTGCATATATATAAAATAAACAACCATGTGTGCCAGTTATCCCATTTTGACATCCAACTGTATAGAAAACCTACTTATAATTTAATCTTAAACATATATGACGCTTCAATTTTGAAAGTGCTTTCATTTGATAAAGCATTTATTTGATAAAGCAAGACTATATACTATGTAGCAAAAATAGTAATTTCCCTCCTAATTACTTTGTGTTGCATTTGAAAAATATGATTTTGATTTTAGATGCGGGGTAGTGATTCATAAATAGATTTTTTTTTAAAGACTGGTTTAGAAAATATCATTTAATGTACTCTATTAATAAAATTACAGCCTGTGTCATTCTAGTCATGTCTAACAGCTGGTGACACCTGGAGCTAGCCAGGAAAGTATCTGGTGAAACAGATGGGCTTAGCCCCAGGCCTTGAATGGAACAATTCAGATGCTGCCCAACCCTCCCAGGTGATGGAAATTTCAAAAGGAGATTAACTCCTCAGTATTAAAATACCTTGTCCTGTTCTCAGTATTCCCATCTAGAAAAAGCATGCTAGAAAGTAACAACAACACTTTGACTTTAATAGTTATAAATTATGAAAATGATCAATTAGTTGAACTCAGATAACTCCTCACTGCTTTTCACTCCTAGAGGATAGGACGGTGAAGTTCAACTACAGCCCACATATGAAAATGACTAATGTTAATCCAGCCTCTCAAGGCAGGCCAGTAGCTGCTGGCTTGTAATCTTGAATTAAAGTTTTTTATACACAGGTTTTTCGGTAGACAAATTCAGGGATATTTTAGCAGAGGGAAACAATAAGCAAAATAGTTGAGATATCATTGTTTTGCAAAAATAAATCCCATTTTGCCTACAGCAGTTTTTTGTTTGTTTGTTTTGGCATATCATTCATGGTTCTTCAAAGGTAAGATCACTTAAGTCCTAACTGCCTTCCTTCAGTGTATGTTGTTAGGTGATTGGAATTTACCACAAACTGCTATTTCTTATAATTCTCTATTGAATGGCTCCATAATTTATATTCAAATATGATCTAGGATGGCTTCTTTTCATAATATCCTGAGTGAATAGTAAATATAGGAAAAGGAACCAGTATAAAAATATACCAGTATAAAAAATAAAAACCAGTATAAAAAATAGTTGTCTGTTTTTAAATGGCAAAGCCAGTACTAATCAAGAGTATTCTTTAGTATCTAGAGATAGCCAAAGGTTGAATTTAAGTTTCAGTCCTTATGCCAGAAAAATATATTCTCTCAAAATATTTTTTGAAAATCCTTTGCTTGTCTATGGAATGCTTTCAAATAAACCTTCTTCCCTCCTGTCTCCCTCCCACTCCAGTCATCTGTCTTAGAGCTATTGGAATCCTGGATCATTGTGGGAAATGAAAGGTAAGTAAGTACATGCCTATAATTTGTTGTTGGTAAGTGTGGAATGGGGTCCAAGGAATGGTTCGTTTAAAAATAAGACACTTCAGACCACATAACTTGTTTTTTTTTTTTTTGAGACGGAGTCTCCCTCTGTTGCCTAGTCTGGAGTGCAATGGCGTGATCTTGGCTCACTGCAACGTCTGCCTCACGAGTACAAGCAATTCTCCTGCCTCAGCCTCCCGAGTAGCTGGGACTACAGGTGTGTGCCACCACACTTGGTTAATTTTATATTTTTAGTAGAGATGGGGTTTCACCATGGCCAGGCTGGTCTTGAACTCCTGACTTCGTGATCTGCCTGCCTCGGCCTCCCAAAGTGCTGGGATTACAGGTGTGAGCCATTGTGCCCAGCCAATCACATAACTTCTAACAATATTTACCATATTGGACTTGAAAAATTGTACTTTGCTTTGTATATGTACTGTAGTAAGCTTGAAAACACAATAATACAGTATACAAATAAGGTTTAAAAATAGTTCCTTTTGGTCTACTTTAATTATATAATAATAGTTTCAAATTTCCAAGAATCATTAAGTATACATTTTAAAAAATATATTGAATTTTATCTTCTTTTGTGAATGATTTTGTTCCTTAGGCATATAGGGATCTTGCTCTTTATAACAGACTATAAGATTGTTGTGTTTTTCTTTTTTTTTTTTTTGAGACAGAGTCTAGCTCTGTTGCCCAGCCTGGAGTGCAGTGGCACGATTTCAGCTCACTGCAAGCTCCGCCTCCCGGGTTCACGCCATTCTCTTGCCTCAGCCTCCCGAGTAACTGGGACTACAGGTGCCCGCCACCATGCCCAGCTAATTTTTTTTTTGTTTTGAGTAGAGACAGGGTTTCACCGTGTTAGCTAGGATGGTCTCGATCTCCTGACCTCATGATCCACCCACCTTGGCCTCCCAAAGTGCTGGGATTACACGCGTGAGCCACAGGGCCGGGCCCTGTATTTTTCTCTTAAAAGTACTGTAGATAACTGAATAGAGTTGTGTGTTATAATTAACCAGTAGAACATAATATGTAAGTCTAATTCAATATATTTGGTTTCAATCAAATTACAGTTAGCATTTCAAATAGTGCCAATTCTGTTGACTTACTGTAGAAATTCCTGAAGGAAACACAAAAACAGACAAATGAGAACTATGCAAAATATCAAAAGCTATCATTGTAACATCAACTTTTTCTGGGATTTCTTTTCATAATTTCTTTTGTTCTGATTACCTCCATGTTGAAGTCATGTTGGGGTCAACATGAAAGCCATTATAAAAATCAAACACTATTCCAGTATTTGATGCTTTATCTTTGTATGCAGTACAGTCCAAGGAATGGAAGGAATCGCAGCAGTCAACCTTGGTGTAGGCAATAAGGGATGCATTATTTACAGATAATTTAAAAACAAAAAAACCTATGAAAAGTGAGCCTGCTTTTATCAGCAGCAATGACAGTGATAAAATACTTCTCCTTATTGGGCAGAGGCTCCCCAGTACCCTACCCTTGGTGTACGTCTGCCAACATAAGCTCAAAAGTACTATATGCCCAATGCTTTTGAGATGCTTATTGCAGATGGATCTCATTCTCGCCTTTATTTTCAATTTTTGAAAATATAAATGTAGAAGAATATATTATCAGTGTTAAGGCAGCCTACAATCTGTTATAACTTTAAATGTAAAATATACATAATGAATTTTTTTTAAAAAATTCCAATGAAGTTGAGAGAGGAATTGTGGACATAAGTAACTTTCTACCTGAACTTTTAAATACTGATACCCCACTGTCTGAAAGTCACAACTAGGTGCCTAAGGAAATAAGTGAAAAATCAAAATATGTCATACTTGCATTTAATGTATGAGAATTTGTTTTGACCACAGAACCCAACTCCCACTGAGGATTTCACTCCCTGATAGTCATTCCAAAACTTAGTATAAGACTTTTATTTTTTTTCTATATAAGGAATTTAGTCTCAAATAAGCATTCCTCACTTTATTGGCCTAGACTGAACAAGGCAATGGCTAGTGGCAATCTAGTCCACAATTAATGAAGATCATATTTTTGCTGACTCCTTGGACCCTGAGTTCATGAAGATATGAAGCACTGAGGCAACAATAAAAAAAACATTAACAAAAATGAAGCACACATTAAAGCACAAAAGCACCTTCATCAATGTTCTCACCACCTGTGGTTCCCACCTTACAGAATTTTCCATCTGTTAGCTATAACACTCTAGAGTTAGGAAAGTAACTAGTACTTTACAAATATTTTTCCTTTCAAATGCTTTATTACTGTTAGAGAAAAAAAGAACGTAATAAAAAAAAGAAAACCACAAACATTTTATATACATGCAAAAAGGCAATAAAGTGACAAAATGTTTAGAAAAAGCATGTGAAAAAGAGTAAAATCATTATTTGTAAATGTAAAACAATAATTTTACTTGCCTTGGGTAGGTGTCTGATTTTTTCTTTCCTTTGTGAGAACGCTGACTAAACTAGAATGACCAGAGGTTCATTTCCAGAATATATTATTCATGACGTTATTTATATGTGTGTTTGCATATGTGGCATGAAATCTGTCATACTATATAAAGGATATATGTTTCACCAAAAGGCAGGAAAAAACCATACCTTTGTTATTTAGAAATCAACTCACAGTTGCATAATCAAACCTAATCATTGTTGTTTTCGTATAAATTTTGCTTTATTAGTGAGTTGGCTTTGAGGAAATGTGTATTTCCACGGTAAAACAAGTATGTGTTAATTTCTTGAGCAAGTAGGATTCCAGTATCAGAATACATTCTTAAATACATTATTTCTAAATAAGGCATAGCACATTACTTAATCTTACAAGGAACTTATAATTAGGATCTTCATTAATAAATACATATTTATAAATATATTATTGCTATGCTTGTTAAAGGCACTGACCGTTGACCATTATATATTATTTCTATATGTATATATACAAAGTGTATCTATATATAACTATGTATCATTATATGATATGAAATATATAACGAAATAATGTATAATGTATACCCTATATTTATATACAAGTATATATATACTATATATATACACAAGTGTTTATATACAAGTGTATATATATAGACAATAGTAAAAGGTCAGTGCCTTCAACAAAGCACAGCAATAATATATTTAAATAAATATGTATTTATTAATGAAGGGCCTAATGATAAATTGCTTGTAAGATTAAGTAATGTGCTATGCCTTAATTAGAAATAATTAATTTACATATACTTGTTTTACCTGTGGAAATACACATTTCCTTATATACTTGTATATATACAAGTGTGTATATACATATATAAAATGGCAAAAGGTCAGTGCATTTATACATATTTATAATGTGTATGTTTTACCTTTGGTTTATATGACTTATATTTATATATATGAATATACATAAATTTATAAAAATGGAAGACTAGCTGGAAACCAGAATCTGACTTCAATCTGGTAAAAATAAAATTTCCCAGTTAGTTTGTAAATTAGTTTTTTGAAATTTAGAAAATAGTATCTCATTGGACCAATATTAAAAATTGTTTCATTCCCAGGTAAGTCCACAGAAATCTATTTAATTTAAATAAATTTTAGTACCATGCTTAAAAGAGAAACTATTTTCCTTTTTATAAGCTGGTTTTGTTTTGATTTGTTTCCTAAAGGAACTGGTTTTTAGCAAGGAGACCGAGAAACTCTACTCCCTAGGGGCTAGCAATGAGAGAAAGGAAGCCTTAAGTCTTTGAGCACAGGGTGACAGTTTGGGTCCTATGTGAGGTGATCAAGTCCATAGCAACAGAGGGAAGGACAAAAGGAAAAGGTCTGTAGCAGCACTACATCAGAAAAAATGGATTCAGCAAGGAAGTGGGTGACTCTGAGTAAGCATCCATGTCAGGATGGTTTTGCTACAGCCCCCACCCAAACATTAATTTAAGTTTAAGAAACTCAACCTTGGTTGACAAGTGAAAGTTTGGAAAAGTAACAAAGAACAACTTAAGTAACAAAATAATTTCTCAGGTCATTACAATGGATGTTTCCTATAACTGAAAAATATGGTTAAAAAGTACAAGCTACATTTGGTGGGTAAGCTGTTTAGTTCTTAATTCCAAACTAAATTGTACATTATATAGTAAAATATTGGCCAGAAAAACTTGGAGATTTTAGTAAAAATTTCATTGACATATTTACAGCCCCAATGTAGTTTGGCCAGTTTGCAAAGCCTGACTAAGGAGGTTGTAGAGAAAAATATCAGACTTAAGCCCATCAGATCATTAAAGATGCTTTGGCGAGACTTCAGGCTTTACAGACATACTCCGTATGACCGGAGATGTCATAACCAGTGTTCTTTCTCTTGAAATGTTATAATGCTTTAGTTTTATTCTATCATTTCCCTATTCCATGGAACAGCATCCACTTCTCCCAATTTTAGTAGCATAGTGAGAGATATATTGAGTGTATAGAGCAGGAAAGGCATGAAAACTTATATTGCATAATATTAGTAAACAAAAAATATAACATTATAAATTTTTAAAAATCCAAAAAAATTCCAGAAACAGAACAGTGAGCATGTTTAAAAAGTCAAGACTGACCATTTCTGTGAGCTCTGAGGACTGTAAATGAGCCTCAATCCATAAAGCTGAGAGGTTGTCTTAGCCCACATATGCAGCAGGTGACTCCCGCTGACAAAAGCAGTATTTAGCTGGATCTTTTAAAAATAACAATATACTTGTATTTGAGAATAACAATAATATAGTTATATTGTAAAATACTTTTATAATGTACATTTATATTATATAATAATACATACTTGATAGATATTTTAGTCTATTATTAGTTTTATTCTTCAAATATGCCTGGAAAAACATTTAAGTGTATTTGTAAATGTAAATATTTAAATGTTATCAAGTATTGGAAAACATGTTTGATTACTATGGAAATATAAATTAAACTTCCCAAGTATTCTATAGAAGATGTACACATCTATAGTATATAAAAGAATTAGAGATTCCTTCCTCCCCTTCTTCCTTTATTCTGAGGAAAGAGGTAGTGAAATTGAGCTTTAGTTTTTAACAGGTTAGAAAAAGGAATC